GAGCATCTAACTCAAAACTAATTGTACATGAAAAGACTCAAGACCAATTTTAATGGCTTTCAGTCTTCTATTTCCAGTGTGATCGTCTCCTAAATTCCTAACAGAGAAAATGATTAAATCACAATTTAAACATATATGTGGATGTATTACAGAGGAAATAAATTCACAATTATTATTTTTGAGAGAAATAGAATCACAATTGAAACACACATTCAGTACAAAATTTTTGAGTAAATACAAGACGAGAAAGTAACTGTGCCGCTTACTTATAACTTATTACTTTTTCTGGTATGAGCTTACAACAATTAACGTGGTTTTAGCAGGATGTACATACTGAAACCACTACAACTTATGGAAGTGATCAAACTTATAAAATATCATTAGCTATTTTTACTTATCCGAGAAATAAATTTTTTGAATACATATAGGAACGTAATTTATCTCCTATATACTATTTATGAGACAAAGATAAATGTTTCTTAGTTAAGAATTTGCCAATTAAACAAATGTTAAGAGTTATAATTACCCATGTGAAGAAAAAAATTTGCTTACAATGAAGAGACAATGTATGCTATAGTAAAATAAACTGTTATTGGCACTCCAGAAATCTAATTGTGCACTCTAAATTAGAAATTAATTTAGTGCATTAGTCTAATAATTGCTTACATTGAAGAGACAATGTATGCTATAGTAAAATAAACCCTAATTCCACCCTTGAATCCTTAAATCTAGAGAGAGAAGGACAACTAATAGTTCTAATAAAACACAACGTAAAGTTTTCTTGAGAGAGGAAGAAGACAGAGTCCATTTGAGGAAAGCAACAATTGCTTTGTAGATGTTAGGAGTGGAGCTCCAATCAGGAGCTACAATAATGGCTTGGGAGACGTTGGTAGCCGCATTGTAGCTATTCCTGCTCCTCAATTGTTTTTGTCCACTGTTCTAAAAATACTGGCCTAGCGCCGCCTATGCCCTTCCAAGGCTGCCGTGATTAATCCCTAGGCGTTTGAAAATTAAGAAGAACGTCTAAAACCACCTAGGCGCCCGTCTAGACTTACTAAGGCACCTGTCTAAATCTCAACTCTCACTTAGACAGAAAATAGATAACTTTCATTTTGCATTTTATTTTTCATTAATTTGTAACATACTTGTTGATACTTGGATGAACACTCATTATATGATTGTTTCCTATGCTTTCAATACTTTATAATCTATATATTATTCTATTTATATGTTACATAATAAATTAATTATAATCATAAAATCTTCTAGGCGGGGCCCGACTAACCCCTAGCGCTTTTTGGAACCTTGCTTTTGCCTTCTAGTTTCTATGGTTTTAGCCCCCAAGGGTTTTTGTCACAACCCGTCCCAGAATTTCATATTTGAGGATATGAAGTTACAAATTTGTCCTTGGTCGTCAAGTGGTGACTTATATGTGACTTATTTAAGTTGGATTAATTTTTTAATATTGTTAAAGTTTGACCTAAAGTGAACTAAGGACTTAAAGAATTTTTGGCTTGTGGTTTGAATTGGTTGGACCACACACACACACGGGACACACGTACACACTCACCCTATACTCTCTCTCTCTCTCCTCCCTCTCAGTTCACTCTCTCTCTCTCTCTCTCTCTCTCTCTCTCTCTCTCTTTCGAACTTGTACGGACAAGGAACCAAACCCCTCAAAACTTCGCAGATCGACATCAAAAAGATGAGTTCCTTCATCCTTACAACCTCCTGAATTGATTGGTACTACTTTTAGAACTGGAAACCCTCGAAATCACGTCGAAACCGTAACCCCGTTTGATATCACTGTTCACGAACTTTGTAATGGTTGGTTTTTAGGACAATCCAAACTCACGGTGAGCTCTAGAAGGTTCCCACGAAGCTCGGGGACGTTCGTTTGAAGGTTTTGGACGTCAGGATCATAAAGTTCGAAGGTGGCCGGTTTTGGTAGAAATTTCCCGACGTGATTTCGAAGGTTTGAGGCTCCAAAGAGGTATAGCCTTTTTCCTCTCGTGATTTGTGACATTTTGGTGAAAATTTCGTGGAAAATGGTGCAAAATTGAGCGAGAAAATGACATTTACAGGTCTGCCCAGTTTTCCGGCACCGGCAAGATTTTTCAGCGTCTGGAGGTAGGGGATGACACACGTGGGGGCGCTTAGCATCGTGCCTCTCCCGGCGCGTGGAGGCGCGTGCGGCGTTGAAAAATTATTCTAAAAATATCTCGACGTCCGTGACGTCGAGTAGGTCACTGTGGTATATTCATATACCCAAATTGAGCATCGTATGAGAAGTTATTACGTATTGTTGGTTATGTGCTTTTAAATAACGTTTTTACAGTTGTTTCGCATATAGGTGAGACCTATCTCGAGGACGAGAGCATTCAAGGGCGTCACGGGGGTTACGACCCTTCGACATACCAGTGAGTGGGTAGTTATTTTCTGTATATACCTATATACTACTGATTTTTCCCAGAAATGGAATTTAAATGATAGTATGTTTTTAAAATGTCATGCATACATATTATATGAAATATATGAACTAGTATTTGATGCATATATGTTAAATGGTGTTGTGGACCCACAGGTGAGTATCAGGTGAGTTTTATGTTGTTCATGTGATTTATTGATGATGTGAATTGTGTTGAGAGCTCATAACCTGCACCCCTGGTGTTAGTGCTTATATTATTCACCCCGCACCACACGCTCACCTTGGATCCAAGTAGGTGCATGTCGTACAGACCATTAAAGGTGGTTCCGACTTGTAGGTGACTTTAGATTATTATACAGCTGTTGATGAGAGAAGCACTAGAGCGTATTCTTACACCATTCTTGTCGTACAGACTACTTCAGATAGTTCCGACTTATTTGCAGAGTAGTGCTGTACAGGTCATAGTTGATGACTTCGGCTGGATTGGATATTGAGCGATAGAATTAGCCGTATAGGATAACTGCAGAGTCTCCGGTTGATTCCTTATTTCACCTGTTATATTGATGCATCCTTATTATGTTTTGAAGCATAGCATGACATATTTTCCTGAAAAGTGTTAAAGACTTGTGATTTGAATTATTTTGCTGTTATATATGGTTATATATATACTATTTTGTATGCGAAAGTATATAGGTTTTACAGCGAGGGGTTAGATGTATTATTAAACGAAATATTTTTGAAAAGCTTTGTTTTACTGACCCACTCAATCTTGTTTTGCGCCCCTCCAGGTTCTAGTTAGCAGTGTTGGTGACTCACGAGGATTCCCACGGCGTTCTGACAGACTACTTAAATGTAGGACTCACCTTCGGGTGTTGTAATTTAGTAATGGTCCTACTTGACTGCACCTAGTACTTATGTTCTGATTATGTGTGTTTCACACTTAAACTCACTCTAGCATGTTAGTTGGATATTTTGCTAGTAGTTGGTTTTTATTCCTTCGTATTTCTTTTACCTTTTTGCTTCCGCATCGTACTTTTGGTTACGTCACACCCACGTGACGGCCAGCACGCCCTGATTTTAGGATCGGGGTGTGTCAGTTTTCCTTGGTTTCTAGAGAGAGAAGTGAGATGATGATCGAGCATTTTTTGCAACGAAAAGAAAGAACCCACTGTGTGTGGAGGAGAGAGAGAAGAGAAAGATCGGGGATTCGAGGTTCAAGGTTAGGCAGAAGACTAGAGAGAGTGATCTGAGTGAGGTGAGGGAGAGAAAGAGAGACAGAGAGACAAAGAGACAAAGAGAAAGAAAGAAAGAAATGTTAACTTTGATTGAACGGTTGAGATTAAGGAAATTTTTCAGTATTGTTGATTCGAGATTTGTTCGGTTTGGTTTCGTTACGGAACTGAATAACATTTATAATGCACAATAGTAACTATAGTAAAAGGAATTGAATAACATTTACTATGAATGAATAATTTGATGATCTTAAGAATTACATAAAATCGCAAATGACGCTTTACCTCAATGGAGAAAATCAATCATGTTTATGCATTCTAGTGTGGGTTCGATCTCCACCGATTCTCCTCTCCCCTAACAATTAATTAATTAACCCACTAAAGCTATAGTATATATATATATATATATATATATATATATATATATATATATATATATATATTATTGCATTTATACATGCCCTTTAATAAGAGGGATCCCCATTTTTCTAAAAAAATGGGGACACCCTCTTGATCGTTGGATTGACTTTAATGAAATTGTATGATTGCGATTATATCACAGGCCACACAATTTCATTAAAGTCAAATCCAACGGTTAAGAGGGTGCCCCCATTATATATATATATATTATTGCATTTATATCTAAATTCATGTCATTTCAATTTGAAATTATATTTTTGTATGATTTGATGGGAATTGTTTTGAGCATAAAAGATATTTTATACTAATTTACACTAAAAGAGATGAAGGGTTTAAATTAAGTACGTAGTGAGTTGAAAAAGAAAACGCTAACCACTAAGATCATCCACCACTTATTTTAACTTGATATCGCATGAATTACAGTGTTTGACTCACCTCACAATAGTAGTTTTTTAATGGCTATAATTAATTATATATATGAAAGAGCGTTCAAATATAAATAAATTCATTTAACTATGATCAAATAAATAGACAAACACAATAAATACAATAACACTAAAAAATGTGATGATACAAATTCAATAGCCAATTGGTTTTCCAATTTTTGTCATTTTTTTCAGAAATAATCGTTAGTGCGTTTATCAAAATTCCTCGTATTTTGATGGGAAATCTTAATGATTAATAAGGAATTAATTATAGTGAAAAAAAAACAGAAAGAAATTTCCATGGACATTCCAAGAAAGGCAAATTCCGAAAACAAATGGGTGTAATAAAAGGTGCACAGAATCCGAAGTCAATATGGACTTATGGTAAATGCATTGTTACCTTGAAATCCATATTGACCATGCATTCACACACACATTGCACACATTGTTTGAATAAATTCCTACACTCTCGTCTCGTGTGCAAGAGGCAACTACTTTCTTCAAATCAATTCCAAGTTGTCGTAGTAGCGTCGGGATCGAGAGAGACAGACACAAGCAGATATACGTTTTTGTTGGTAATTTAGATTCCCGCAAGCTCTTGCGTCAACAGTTTCAAATTCAAACAGGTATATACACCCGATCCAGTTTAAGTTTCAGCCGACCATTAACAAGGCTATAGAAATTTTTTATAATATCAGCCTTGAAAACCTCTCACTCAAATCATCGACCTCTTTCCCTATATATATACACCTCTCTCTCTCTCTCTCTCTCTCTCTCTCTCTCTCTCTAAAACGATGGCTTTCCAAACTCCACTACAGTACTTTTCACTGAAACCCAAAAGAGCCAACCTTTATTACATGACGGTAGCCGCAGTCCTCTGCACGATCTGCTACCTTGTCGGAATTTGGCAGCACTCAACCAGCCGCGCCGCAATTTACACACCTGTCTCCGCCGTCACCTCATGTCCTCCAATCACCACAAACACAACAATCACTCTCGACTTCAACGCCCACCACCGCGCCGAGGACCTCCCCCTACCTCCCGTGGCTGCGCGTGTGGCTCACCTGCCGGCCTGCGACGCCAAGCACAGCGAGTACACCCCGTGCGAGGACGTCACGAGATCGCTCAAGTTCGACAGGGATAGGTTGGTGTACAGGGAGAGGCATTGCCCGGACAAGGAGGAGCTTCTGAAGTGTCGGATTCCAGCGCCTCACGGCTACACGGTACCGTTTCGGTGGCCGGAGAGCCGAGAATCGGTTTGGTATGCAAATGTGCCGCACAAGGAGTTGACCGTGGAGAAGAAGATGCAGAATTGGGTTCATTACGAAGGGGATCGGTTTAGATTCCCTGGTGGAGGGACCATGTTTCCTCGCGGTGCAGATGCGTATATTGATGATATCGGAAAGTTGATTAATCTCAGAGATGGGTCTATACGGACCGCCATCGATACCGGTTGCGGGGTAAGCAAGTTTTATTTACTTTTTTTTATTTATTATTTCGGTTTGAAAAGCTATCATGGTTACGGTTACGAGTTTGGTGAATGGTAGTTTGGCTATGGCCTCAATGTTCATTTGTAAATGCATATGTTCGTTAGGAGTAGGTAGGTTGGTTCTTTGTCAAGGAGTACGACATTTTTACAATGTTTATGCTGCATAATTTGTTGGAACTGTGATCTGCCAGCCGGAATGGCCGAATCGGCCAATATGTGACACATTGGTCTTTTTTTTTTTTTTTTTTCTTTTTAATTGAGGATTGTTTGAGTAGAAAGTAAGCGCGTCAAAGGTGATAGGGTACGAGGGAATTTTCTTTTTATTTGTTTCCTTTTGTTTTTGATAACTTGAGTAATTCAAGGAAAGAGAAATCCTAAGGAAAACTACAGAAATATTTCCACCTTTTATGGGCAGAAACTTCATACTCAAAAAAAAAAAAAAAAAAAAAAAAAGGGAAGTTGCAGCTCTGTTTTTTTTGTTTTTTGTTTTTGTTCATATAAGGTTGAGTTGTCTTTGTGGACCCAGAAAGGTAAGTTGTAGAAATCAAAATTAGAAATTAAACAAAAAATATATTTCCTGTTTAGCATGATATTATGGAAATAAATTAGCAAAAATGTGGGTTGGCAGGGTGGTGGGTAGGATGATTCTACATTATTTTGGGAAAAACCAAATTGGAAAATGGTTTTTGAAAACCATGTTGTCTTAATTAAGTAGTGAAAAGTTATACAGTTAAATATCAATTTCAGCCCATTATTTTCTTATCAGGTAATATTGTTTGTTCAAAAAAATTAAAAAATCTATTTCAGCAAATGCTAAAATTTCTGGAAAACAATTGTCTAGTAGAAATTAGACAACAAATGAAAATAATTTGAAAATCTTTTTTATTTATGTACCCTGGCACTGAAGCAAAGTGCATAAAAGATATTGATGAACATGATACGTTTATTTTACTATTAATTAGCATTGACTTGTCGAAAAAGCGATTCTATATATCTTGCAATGTACTTATTTATAATGTTAGTTACTTAATCTGCTTTTAATGCTAAATTAAATGTAGATATGTTTACATAATATTTGTTCATAGACTTTCCAACCTTCCTCAGTTATACCAACTATCTCCTTAATTAATTTGTACAAGTCACTCTCTAACAGTTCAACAGAATTCTTTGTCAATAACTTTTATTTAATTGAAAGTTTATTTACAAAGGGAAGTGCTTTTGACATGCCTAATTTAGCTTCTCATACACTACTCTTTACATTGATACAGTTGCTATAACTAAACAAGGGTAAAAGGTGTATAGGAGACCAAAAAAAGTGTGTGAAAATCACTTCCCCTTATGAAAAAATAAGTTAGACTATTCAATTGCTCGTTCTGTTACCTGTTCATATTTCTTTAACATTCAATATTCGTGGTGCAGTCACGTAATAGTGACAAAAACCATGGAAAATGTAACCGCTTGAAATGAAGATTTTCTCATGCTGATATTTGTCATGTGTAATTAGAGTGACGATTATTCTTATAATTTTCCTTTTAGGTTGCAAGTTGGGGAGCTTACCTTTTGTCCAGGGACATTCTAACAGTGTCATTTGCACCAAGAGACACACATGAAGCACAAGTTCAATTTGCTCTTGAAAGAGGAGTTCCTGCATTGATTGGCATTCTTGCTTCCAAAAGACTTCCTTACCCCTCAAGAGCTTTTGACATGGCTCACTGCTCTCGATGCCTCATCCCCTGGGGCCAATATGGTAAATTCACTGTAAACCCTGATCAACTTTAGGTTAAAACATTTTCTTTGCTCTATTATATATGATGCTTGAAGATGAAGATGTTTAACTTAGGATTTTGATCATGCAGATGGGCTTTACTTGATTGAAGTTGATCGAGTTTTACGCCCCGGTGGGTACTGGATTCTTTCCGGGCCACCAATAAACTGGGAGAATCACTGGAAAGGATGGGAAAGAACAGCTGAAGATCTTAAAGCTGAGCAGACAACGATTGAGAATGTAGCAAAAAGATTGTGTTGGAAGAAACTGAAGCAGAAGGGTGACCTTGCAATTTGGCAAAAACCCACTAACCATGTTCACTGTAAGGTCAACAGAAAGCTCTTCAAGAAACCATCCTTCTGCCAAGCTCAAGATCCTGACACTGCATGGTAATGTGCTTTTCCTTTCTTAAATTATCATGTCTATGCAATTTCTGAAATAATTTTTCTTTTAGATTTTCGTAGATTTTTGGTTATTGAGTGGATTAGAATTTTGTTTTATCTTTTTGTGCTCTCTAACAATAATACTAGACATGAACTTACTATACTAAAATTTGGTTACCAATAAATGTGACTATTTCTTATTTGCTTTGAACAAATAAGGTCGAGGATGGGCCTAGCATGAAATAGTGACACATTAGCTGATATCTTAAAATTTGGTGTCTATAGTACTAGAACTTACCTACACCGAACATGTCTCTGGTGATATTCCATACCTAGAACACAATTTAACTTTTTCACGTAGTAATACGTTATTAGTTTGAGATACCATCACAGTAGAGTTCCCGGTATAGTTAAGACAAGTTTTCCAGCTGTTAAAGAATGTACACTTTGGCAGTGATCCAAAACCAACCTGATAGCAAAGGCAGGTAGAGTAGTTAAACTGTCCAAGTCGAACCATCCATACACTCAGCGTTTTGTTGCTGCTTTTTTGTTCTTTACTCGAATGTTTTTTTAATCTTTTTTTGTTTAAGTTTTACTCAACATCCTTGCATCTTTTTTTTTGGTAGGTATACGAAAATGGAGGATTGTTTGACCCCACTTCCTGGAGTGAACAACATAAAGGAAATTGCAGGAGGGCAATTGGCTAAATGGCCAGAGAGGCTAAACACAGTCCCTCCAAGAATCAGCAGTGGGAGTTTGACAGGAATCACAGCTGAGACCTTCAGAGAAAACACAGAGCTTTGGAAGAAAAGAGTAGAATATTACAAGACCGTGGATTATCAGTTGGCAGAGGCCGGGAGGTACCGGAATCTGCTCGATATGAACGCTTACTTGGGCGGCTTTGCAGCTGTACTTGTTCATGACCCTGTGTGGGTTATGAACATTGTCCCTGTTGAGGCTGAGGTTAACGCCCTTGGAGCCATTTATGAACGAGGATTGATTGGAACTTATCAGAATTGGTATGCTCTTTGCCCATGCAATAACGATAAAACTTTGAACCGCATTTACGAATCATGCTATGAACCACGTCTCCAATCGAGGTGGGACCTATGTATACAAGTGGGTTCCGCATCAATTAGAGATATGGTACGGAATACCGTTTGTCGTATGCAATCTTATGCATTGCTTTGTTAGTGCTAATGACTTGTTACTTGGCAGGTGTGAAGCTATGTCTACTTACCCAAGAACCTATGACTTGATTCACTCTGATTCAGTTTTTACCCTCTACAAGGACAGGTGACTTCCTCAGCCTTGCACTCTTGAACATTGAGTTAGTTTACTTTACTATGATTTCAACTATTATTTCAGCATCAATCATTCATGCGCACAAACTCTCTTGATACGTGAAGTGATTGTGTCTCATCGATGCTTTTAATCCCACAATACGTCAAATATGCACGAACTACTGATGCTAACATTGTACTAACAATACTTGGATCAGTCGCACGAACAAACCATCCCTAAAAAATTATCAAAAGCATTTAAAATTACTAACTCGAACATGATTCATTTGTGTTGCAGATGTGAAGCGGAAGATATTCTTTTAGAAATGGATAGGATTTTAAGGCCAGAGGGCAGTATAATCTTCCGTGATGACGTGGACGTGTTGGTGAAAGTCAAGAGCATCTTGGATGCAATGCAATACGACGCCAGAATCGTCGACCATGAAAACGGACCAAAGGTGAGAGAGAAGATTTTGTTGGCGGTCAAGCAGTACTGGACTGCCCCAGCTCCTGCCCTAGAAACTCAAGAACAAAGCAAATCGAATTCATAGGCCTCTACCTTAAGGGCTTCCCCCTTTTTTATTTTACTTCAAAATATTCCAATTTTTATGTCGATAATTTTGAAATTTAATGATTTTTTTTTTCATGCGCTCAAGATTTGTGGAGTGAAACTTGGATTGAGAATTCTATACCAATGGAAAGAAGCATTTTAAATGCAATTTTTCTACAACAAAAACATCCTTTTGTGTCGGTGATCGAAGATCCACCAACAGAGCACGCTACAAGATCGAACATGTCGTATAAACTCACAAGGCATGCAACATGGAGAAGGTAAATTATACACACCGGCATTATCCTGATGAATGCATGTCACTTTTCTTTGGTTTACAAGGATTGAGGTACGGCAGGTTGTTTGAGACATTACCTCCCAAAAGAAGGATTACTAACAGCATTAACGGAGCCACATCGATATTTAAAATGAAGCAATCAACCAGTTCAAACGTCCACTACCTTCCGAGGACATGATCTAGGTTCCAAACCTGGCCCGGGTCATGTCCCTTTAGCTCCCTAGTAGAATGAATCAACCGTAGACAGAGACTATACCTTTCATCTTGTGTCAAGTTGTATGATCAGAGACGAAACTTCGAAGGAAGAGCTGTACTCTAAATCAATTCCAGAAACAGAGCTTCTTGTTTATTTGTCAAGCCAAGTTCACTCAATGATAGTATGCTGTCACCAACAGTAAAAGCACGCCGAGGATATGACCTCACCTGTTCACAGAAATAAAAAACCTCAACCAGAATGCCAACCACGTCATGTCTGCAAGTAGATGTGCAGCATCGTCCTTTTTAGATGACGAAAAACAACCAAACTTTTGCTGGACAGTATGCCAACCATGTCATCGCATGCGATTTAGAGTCTATGGCATCGTCCCCGTCTTAAATTACCACATTCGGGGTCAAATATTCCATTTTAACAGCCCATGATTCTGTTATTGAATCCTGCAACTGGATATAACAGCCCATGCCTTAACAGTTCGCTAATGCCCCAATCTGAAAACCAATTAAAAGTGTTCTACTATTTTCTACTTTTTTATTTTATGAATTTCATCCAATTTCGTTAAAAAAAATAAAATAAAATAAAATAACAAACAAAAAAACCAAAAAGCCAAAGAAAAGAGGAGTGTTTACCACTCTGTAAGTTCCAGGCTTCACCTCTCTACCAACATCTATGAAGTCGAACAGAACCTAAATTGGAACAAGATTTTTTGTCAGTTGAGACAAAGAGACGTTCTTTTAAACTTATAAAGATTTTAAAACTGTACCTGAAGCTTGTCGGACTTGTTAAAGCGGCGACTAAGGCGAGTTCCATTTGGCATCCTAACAAGAAGAGTCACAGCATTCTGATCATCTATTGCTGGTTCACAAGGAAGCGAAGCCCCTTTCGCAGCAAGCCTACTCTCGAGTTCCTGCCATCAGTGAGACAATTAGACTGTAGGGAAAAGAATTATAACATTATGCCATTGAAAAATCAAAATGGTAATCATTCCACCATAAACCTCAACCTCATTGACTGATAAACTGTCAAACAATATTGGGAAAGAGGAAAGCTGTGTAAATTGAGGGTGCAAAGACAGTCATAGAAGTCACTGGAATCTAATTCTATTTCCCTGATACAGTCATGGAACACATTGAAAACTACCAAACAACAAAAAGGAATACTCATATTCAAGGTGACCAAAGCCTGTGCAACAAAATTTACAGTTTTGTATCGGCAGATGCAGACAGCACTACACATTTTAGTTATCATATGCAGTTGTGAAGTCAGCGGCCTGCATCTTTGACTATACATTTGTCTTTAGTCGAACTCTCAGGTTCTTCAGATCAATAACTCCACCATGAGTTCTGAACCACATGAACTTAAGCACTAAAAACACATGAATATCAAAGAACCATTCTTATAGAGATACACTAATAAACTTCTTCAACATGTAGGACATCGGGAACAAATTAGACAATCAGAATTACACTTGTTTCCTAGTATCTCTTGCAACACTTAAAAGTTGAGGAAAACATCACAATATCAAGTTTTATGCAGAGAAGTGGAATCCAAAAATCAATTGTAAACAATAGCATAAAACAATTCAACAATATTGACAGATACCAATGGATCAATCTTTTTGTTGTCAGAGCCGACATCCTTTATGTCACAAGTTCCAACTTCATTAACACCATTCATTTCCTTTTCTTTATCAGCCAAGAGGGATGCGAGATACTCACAATCCTGCAAGCATTATTTCTAGCAGTCAAGAGTTGGACAACTGGAATACCAACACTCACGATAGTGATTTCGAGAAGGATTTTAAAACCTGTTGTTCTCTAAGCAATTGTCTTGTTAGAGCGGATGATGAAGGGCCATGAACAGGCTGCAAATTAGGATCCAAATTTCTACTTGGACCACTTGGAAAATTAGGTGCATATGAGGATTCACCAAAAAGTGCATTCTCAAGCAGTATAGCTTCGTCAAGCTCTTTGGAAGAAATGCCGCCTAACTACAAGGATATGTAAACAATTGCATTAGTATAGCAGTCCATGTTCTTTAAATGGGCTAAGTAAAAAACATTTAGAACAAGAAAATGATACCTCTTCAGAATTAATGGCAATGTTACCCTGCTGAAGATTGTTACCAGAATCATGCCACAACTCTTGACTCGCTTGTTTTCTTTCTACAGTTCCATCTCCATCTTGGTGCATTGAGGTTTCCCACTATAAATTAGGAACAACCATTTTAGAAGAAACAAAACCTTTTCCTTCAGAATGGGAAGAAACTGATATTTCTATTTACGATTTAGAATGTATAATACTCAAAAGTTCGGCAAGAATACTAATCACATTTTTTGCCAGAAAAACTGCCTAAAATTTATCTGAAACAATTTCTGTGAAAGGTTCTAACATGTATGGCGCAAAATCCTACAATTTCCATTCCCAGAGCCTATAACCTGTAGTGAAAATGTCTGAATGAAAATTTCTATACAATTCTAATTCAAAAGTCTTTTTCTTCCTTAAATTCCTTAAATTTCTCACTGTATGTGCACAGTAATATATATACACCATAAGTAGAGGCCATACCTTTGATGTACTATAAGTTCCTGGTACTTGATTCTTATCTTTCATTTGTTGCTCACGCATCGCTTTCTCTCGTTCTGCTGTCTGAACTCAATTCAATTTTAAATAGATCAATACCCTCTAAGATATGGAAGCAACCCCCCAAAACAAGGCAAAGCATTCAAGATTAGGAACCTTCAGGGACAGTGAAACTGCACGATTAAAATCACTGTTATCTAGGTGAATTTGATTATCTGGAAGCCCATTAACAGGAGACACCTGCATGAAAAAAATCTGACAAGAGTCATAACTTAAGAATGACAAAACTTGAGTTAAATTGGCAGTAGCATACATTTTGAGCCCTGCTTTGCATATTCAGAAGATAAGCCTTTTGAGCGTCTTGTTTTGAAGCCTCAATAGCAGCTCGAATCATTTCCTCCTCCACATCACTTCCATGTAGATTTCCTGTCATGTCCTGAATGGGAGGCCTCTGTCCTGAGAGATGAGGCTGATCATTCCCTCTGTTAAACTCCACAGGAACCCCAGGTACCGCTCCTGGCTGTGAAATTAATGGTGCACGACCGGTGATTCGATTAAAGAGATCTCTACTGTAATTAGGATCAAATAGTAACGAGGGCCTGAAACTCCTAGCAGCAGAGAGAAGTGGTCCAAGTCCTTGCGGTGCAACTTGATTCTGAGCACTCATATTATTGTATTGCGGGTAAGCATGTGGTGCAACTTGATTCTGACCGTCCATATGAGAGAAATTGTACTGGGGGTTAGCAGCCGACCCCGGATTTGTACTGCAGCCGGAAGAACAGAAGTAAAACAATTATCAAATAGTGAAGAAAAACCAGTGTAGAATGTTAAAATTTACTACTAAGTTGAGCACGAAGATAACGAGGAGTAAGATGAACTCAAGATGCAATACAAGTCTCTATATCCTCCCCCAAAATGTGCATTCACAGCTTCACTGAGATTTCCTCCGTATTCCTGTTTACCAGCCAAGACGCACCAGACAACTCAGAAAACATACAAGTCCAACATAAAGAAAATACAATTCACATTACAGGGTGCAAAAAATTTAAATACCACTTTTGAGCAGGATAGCACGGTGACAATAGATAATCCACATTCAATCAATCCTAATGAACTAATCCCACCTCGGCTCAGCTTCCAACCTCACAACCAGGGCCACCAAAGCCTTAGTGGTAGCACCAAGGCTCTATTCTTCGTAATCGACGAATACTTGTGCATCTCCCTTAACATTGCACACTAAACCTTTTTAATTTGCAGAAAGAAGTACCAAATCTTAGACGTCTAACCGGAAATAATGTACGATCCCGAATTCAAGAACTTATTTTACCAAGAATTCAAGAAACCGCACAAGCTTTCTACTAAGAAAAAAGGGGAAATAAATAGCTTATAAACTTGGAATTCAACAACTTAAGGATGACTACCTACATTTCATCAACAAGTCAATAAATTGCACAATCTTGCACTAAAGAGAATGGATCAAGAAACCCTAGGCAGAAAAGCGGCACCGTTTTTGCTAATTTTGAAAAAATTAAAAACAAAAACTAATAATAATCTTACAAAACAAAGACTCAAAGAACGCAATGAAAGCTTGCACAGCGACTCTACAATATGCTAAGTCACTGAAAATTAATAGAGAGAGAGAGAGAGAGAGAGAGAGAGAGAGAGAGAATCGAACCTCCAGCTTCCGAATCGCGAGTGAGTGAGACGCGCCGGTGATGCTCATGTACGTGTCGATCATGTCCTGAGTTGGACTCGCCATTGCCGTTCGATTTCAGAGAGAAGTTGCAGAGAGAGAGAGAGAGATAGAGATCTCTGGAATCCAATGTTGGATGTTATTGGGAGTAGTGCAGAATGTGTGTGTGTAAAGAAATGAGGAGAAGGGCCAAAGGAACAGACCAACGGCTTCTGCGCGCCTTTTTCACCAGGGACACGCGTCTTAAAGCAAAATGCAATGATTGTCCGGTCACGTGACATGCGCCCAAATTATGCAGAACCAGACTCATTTGTTCTTCTTGAATAATTTAATTTTAGTAGATTTTTTTTCTTTTTTGAATCAAACGATATTATTTA